GAGTTTCATATTATATTTCCTCAAGATGTCGAAAGTCTCTTGGAGATGTTTCAAATGATCTCCTTCATTCAAAGACTTGACTAGCATGTCATCAATGTATACCTCCATTATTTTGCCTATCTGATTTTCAATCATTTTGTTAATGAACCTCTAATAAGTGGCTCTGGCGTTCTTAAGCCCAAATGGAATCTCATTGTAGCAATATGTGCCAAAGTTCGTTATGAAAGAAGTTTTTTCCTGATCCTCCGGGTTCATCTTGATTTGATTGTACCCAGATTAAGCATCAAAGAAACTCATTATCTTGTGCCCGGTCGTGGCATCAATCATTTGATCAATGTTTGAAAATGGGAACAAGTATTTAGGTCACGCCTTATTTAAATCCTTATAATCTATGTACATTCTAAACTTGTTATTCTTTTTTGGAACTATAACTACATTGGGTAACCATTCTGGATATTTTACCTCCTGGATGGAACCCGATATTGAGTAGTTGGGTTACCTATTCTTTGACAAACCTGTTCCTAACCTCGGCTATCAGACGTTTCTTCTGCTGTATCGGTAGGAAGTTTAGGTCCAGACTCTGTTTGTGAACGGCCACCTCTAATGGGATACCTGTCATATCCGAGTGAAACCACACATAGCAATTTGCATTAGCTTTAAGAAAATTTATAAATTCCAAACAGAGTTTGGGATTAAGTTTTGTTCCCAAGTGAAACTTACTTTCCAAAAATTCTTCAAATAAGGCCACTTACTCGAGTTCTTCCGCAGTCGACTTGGTCGCATCCGTATCCTCTGGTACCTGAAAGTAACTCGGCATCTGGTGGGATTCTGACTAGTTCTTGCCTTTATCATCATCATACGAGAAGGGAGAAGGCATTGGTTTCTATAGTTGCTATTTGTTGGGATCCTTCCCCTTGCTGCTGAACATTATTACTACGTTCATCTCTCTTGTCGTTGGTTGGTCTCCTCTTATCTGCTTGATTCCTCCCGGGGTTGAGAATTTCAACAATCAATGATACATTGAGGGTATGACCTTCATCTCGTGTATTCACGGCCTTCCGAGGATTACATTGTAACCCATATACCCATCTACCACTTCGAATACAGTGTTTTTTGATCAATCCCTCAGTGTTTGTGGGCAGCAAAATCTCTCCTTAGGTTTTCATACTTGTCAAGTTGAATCTAGCTAAGAGTTTTGTCGTCGGAATGATTCTTCTGGTAAGCTTTGCTTGCTCTAGCACTCTCTATTGGATGTTGGCTGAGCTTTATGGGTCGACCAAAACACATTTAATTTTGAAATCTAAAACATTGAGAGAGATTACCAAAGCATCATTGTATGGTAGAAGAAGTCCGTCAGCGTCTTCCTCTGTGAAGGTGATATCATCTTCTGCTACTTCCCGGAGTCTCTTGTTGTGAGTCACCAATATTTGTTTTCTTGGCTGCTAAAAAGGTTACACCATTGACTTCACTCTCTCCAAAAATCATGTTGATAGCCAACTGAAGCGAGCCTTCTGCCACCTTCGAAGGCTCTACATTGTCCCGGCTTCAGTCGTAGTTGTTCTTGGATCGATCACTTAAATATTCCCTAAGATGGCCATTTTTCGGCAATGTCTCCACCTCTTCACGAAGACATCGACAGTCCCCAATTCTATGGCCGTGAGTCCCATGATATTCACACTATAAACTGGGATCCCTCTGGCAGGAATTTGATTAAATTGGCTTCGGGAATCGTTCTTCTTTGAAAAGCGTCATTGCCAATACCAACTCTACTAAGATGATGTTAAGGTTGTAATCTGATAACTTGGGGTATCCGGAGTCTTGGGCCCCTGGCATATCCTTCTCCTGTAATGACCTGCTGCTCCGGCCATGATCAATTCTTCTATCGGGAGCAAACTTATCTGATGATCGAAACCCTTTTTCGCTACGACCTTTGGCTCTTTCATATGGCATAAAACAACCTCTAGAGCACCAACGATCCGCATCAAAGTCACTTTTAAACTGTCCTTGGTTTTTGTCTCAATCCTATCCCTTGGTTGTTACTGGAAACCCGAGCTGATTGTCTTCTATCCTTATTTTTGACTCGTAGCGATTATAGACATCTGCCCATGTGGTTGCTTGAAACTCGAGCAGACTTTCCTTCAGCTTTCGGCAGCCGTCGGAGCTCCGCAAGTCTAGACCTTTTATGAATGCCTCCATCGCCCACTCATCTAGTACATCAATAGTAGCATCCTCTCTTTCTAGAACCGGATCACAAATTCTCGCAGTAGTTCGAACTCGCCCTGCGTAATTCTGAATTTGTCCGCATTTCTGGCTTGAACCTTCCTTGCTCTGGCATGGGCCTTAATGAACGAGTCTTCAAGCATCTCAAAAGAGTCAATTGAATGCTCGGGTAAAAGAGAACACTGTGCCAGTGCCCCTTTTGTGAGGGTTTCACCAAACTTCTTCAGCAAGATCGACTCGATCTCATGTTGAGCCAAATCGTTCCCTTTCATAGCCTTGGTGTAGGTTGTGATGTGCTCTTGCAGATCCAAAGTCCCATCGTATTTTCGTATGCCCGACATCTTGAGCCTCTTCGAAATTAACTATGGTGTTGCGCTCTGCTTAAACGACAATTGTATGTATTTTTTTGAATCTGGGCCTTTCAGAACTAGTGGTGCGACCGGAATCTAATCCATTTGAGTGTGAAACTCCTTCGCATTTTGATCCACTCATTCGTTCATTTCCCTTATAAACTTCATGAGCTCAGTATTTAAGGGATCATTCCCATTGTTGTTCCTAGATCCGCTACCGGTCCCTTCGGAACCGTCAAAATCGACTTCACCCCTTAGGCTGTTATTATCGACTCTCTGAGCCGTTTGATTTGTAAGAACGATGGGAGGAATCATGCCCCTTCCGTTTGCATTACTGGAGGCGTATGACAATGCTTGTTTTAACTCCATCATTACCGATCCTGCCTTGAGAAGTGACTCATGATTGCCTTCTATTGTTCTCTTAAGATTTTTACCGTTTCCATGACATGTTCCTACTCCGCATCATTGGGAGTTGGCTCCACCACATGTCGAGGGTACTGCCCTTCACACTCCGGGGTTGTTTCGTCACCTTCGTTACGGGTACCGTTGATTACGTCATTATGTTTGAGGCAAATCTTCGCGTTCCTCAATATAGTGCGTGATGTTGACATCATTAGCTGCCATATTTTGTTCTTACTAAAGAAAGAATCAAAACAAGTTAGTAATAAACGAATGAATCAAAGCAATTACGTAGATGTTTATGCCCCATGACGGGCGTCAAACTATTTACTCGTAAAATAGTACAGTTGAATTTGTTACATAATTAATAAACAAGAGAATTAATTTGATCCAAAAAAATAATAAAGAGATAAGATTAATATTAAGATTAGCAATCAAAATTGAAAAAGATGACAAGTCTGGCTCCGAACACAGTATCTCCAAAAGCAATAGTGAAAGTAACGATAAAGTGCAAATAAAGTTGTTAAATTGAGAGCAAAAGTAACGAAATAAAGCTTTTGTATGCATAAAGTCTCATCCCTATATAATGGTTGCAGAGCCTGCTATTTATATATTTACTTAGGGAAACATGATCCTAGGATCAAGCTCCTCTTAAATGATAAAAAAAAGAGTCATTGATTAACATGTAACGGCAGGTCATGAATGTAAATATTCTCTGCAACGGTCGCTCATTTAATGTTACTGAATATTCCCTCGTTGAATGCTATCGGATGCCAAACCCTTGATCTTCTTCCATCTGTTACGCTCCCTTCGGGATTTCTCCGGTATTGATTACATTCGTTGTATCCAGTATTAGTTGTTACCTAACTTGCCTTTTGCCTATCTTCGGTTCCATGTGTCATGTTACCATTCGACCATCTGTTATAGACCAATTTTACCCCATACAACCGTGAATACTACAAAAAAACTGAAATTTGCTATGAATTCCGTCGCTAATCTGTTATTAAATTGCTCAAAGCTAACATAACTTTTTAATAATTTATCGCTAATCTATCACTAAATAGGATTAGCGATGAATTTTGCTGTTAATTAACTATAGACTTTGTCCATTTCTAATTCCTATTTTTTATAACAATGTGTTTAAGAGGTTGGATAGTGCAATATTACTATTTAACTTTTGAATTCTGTAGTTTAAATTATAAATGAACTAGTATATAAACTAATCTGTAATCGATATGTACGTCAAATCATACTAATTCACCATGATTAAGTAAAAAAATTAAGGTGAAAATGTATATTCATTAACTATAATTTTAGTGATAAGATTGTATACGAAAACATATGTCATATATTTATTGGGTTGGTGAAAAACCGGGTGCGCTACATCTTTTACGGATTGAACAATAGGATCTAAACTAGTTTCTAAATACGTGCGTTGCACGTGTATCCCCATACTAATTTTACATAACTTGTAAACCAAAAATATATAACATAAAACTTACAATAAAGCAATGGTCTTTTAATGTTAAAGTAGAAACAATTTATTAAACTACAATACAATATTGGAACACAAGTGCACAAAAGTTATAATGATACTCGTTCAAATAATATTATTTGTGATACATAAAGATTATTTGTATTATAAGTTCTTTCAAAATCAATAAAATATATGCCATGAATATCTTTTTCACTTAAACAACTATTTCCTCTGAACTTAGAAGATAAACCCTCTGAACATAGGATTTGAGAAAATATCGCTCCTCGGGGATGTGATACACAATCTATCCTAACGCAAGGGCCAGTGACTTGATTCGTCTTATTGCTTATAGCGTTAAATTTCTTTCCTTTTTTCCCCATATATGCTAATTTGTTTAATTCTTTTGAGTATTTTTGTCACTAAAATACCAGAAAAATTATTAAAATTTGGACCACTTTATATCAATAATCTTTTTCCTCTTTGGATTTTCTTACTTTCTTTCCCTATATATACATACAACGGTAGCCTTTAGAATGAATATGGTATAGCTCCTTTGTATTCTACAAAGGGATATATAGTCTTTACATTCAGTTTCCAATCCTTTTCACGTAAACCAAAAAATGGAGAACCAAAAGCAACGCCAAGCTGCTTACTTGAGGAGAAGCCTCTTTGATCAGGTCATATTATTACATTATTTGTTTGCTGAAATTTATCCGAATGATTTAACTTATATACATTAACAATATATTTTAGCCGTTATATTAAGTAAATTACTCAATTTTTTTTGAATTATCTTATTAGACATATTATAAATAATGTCTTGTTGTTTTACGTAATTTAACATGAATTTTATGGTTCTTTCATGTATATGTTTTCTTTAATTGAATGAACGTACGTTGATTCTCAACAATACCTCAATGGGTACACGCAAGAAATTAACTAATTTAGTAGCTTTTTGATAAATTTCTCGTGGAGTCAAACTCTCGTCAGTACGAGTCAAAGGAATAAACCCCGGCCTTGGATGTCCATATAAAGAACATGAGGAGCATAAATACCCTCTTTAACGTCTATTCTAACAGAACATATCTATAAAATTGAAGGAATATGCAATGATTTTACCGAGGAAATCCCAAGGATATGGTATTAAATAATTATCTATTGTGGGTGTACAAAAGATGTTCGTTGAGTTTAAGTTTTATCATATACGAATCAAAAATTATTTACTATAAAATTAGGTAAATTTGGAAGTCAAAAGAGGGCGTGTAAGCTTTTTGTAGCCAACCAACTAATTATACTGAACGTATAATTAAAAATATTTTACACTGTTAGTGAATAAAATTTAAAATTATTTTTGTTTATTATAATTAAGGGTGTATAACTTTGGTTAACTCTTACTACTTGTGCAGGGATACATTGATGACCAATTTATTCATCTTGAAGAATTGCAAGATGATGCAAACCCTAACTTTGTTGAAGAAGTTGTCAATCTATTTTACACAGATTCAGCCAGATTGATTCGCAATATTGAACTTGCACTGTAAGAAGTTTATATATATATATGATTATCATAAAATAATGAAATTCTACTTTGAAATGCAGCATTCTTTTTATATACAGAAAAGGGTTTAAAATGCCCTTAAACTATTGGAAAAGATTTAAAAATACCTTTCATCCACCTATTGGACTAAAAATACCCCTCCATCCATCTTTTTGATTCACTTATGCCTTTTGACTGTTAGATCAATATTGATTTAAAAATAATTATTATCTAAATTCTACGTGGCAACTTCTTATTGGTCGAAATTAAAACATCTAACCTATTAGGTCAATGTTTTATATATCAAAATACGTAGAGAAATGCTAAATCTGGTACTGAAAATCACAATAGGCTTCCATATGTATAGAATTGGCATATATGTATAGGCATGTCAGCCTATGTTGCGTGGACTTTCAAAAATACTGTCGTACCCGTGCGAATCCTTCAATAATACATTATTTTTTAAGGATCCGGCATGCACCCGATAGAATTTCTGAAGAGTCCGAACGACATTAGATGTCAGCATCCTAGAAAACGAGTTTTCTACATGATTTACAATATTTTATGTTGGAAAATATGTACAAATGTATATGTATAATACTATAATTAGTCATTGGCCAAATATTTATTTAATTATTTCATTTGTTCCAAACAGGGAAAATGGACCTTATGATTTTACTAGACTGGATAATATGATGTACCAATTCAAGGGTAGCAGCTCAAGGTATGTGTTCAAGCTCGCAACAAACTGACACAATTTCATTTTCAGTCGGTTTCAAAACTATTGATATTTTTACTAAATTCGAAATAAATGATATTACACTTCTAATAATGTTATGACATATTTAAGATCATAATTTTTATTAAGCTTTGTGTCGATGCAAGTTACGTAATGTAAATTGAAACAATAATTATTTTTGCATTTACGTGATATGAGTTCAATTTCAATTATTATTATTATTATTATTATTATTATTATTATTATTATTATTATTATTATTATTATTATTATTAACAAAAAGATAGAAAAGTTTAATGAATCTATTTGTGTCCACAATCGGGCCTTTCTTTGAATATAGTCAAGCTATAAAAGCCTGTGAATAATGATCAATCAATTATTGGGTAGCGTTGAAGAACTAATTTATCTTTCTCATATTCCATTTAGACTTTCTTATCATTTGCATGATTCTCAAATCCCATATTTCTTCAAATTTAGAAGCTTCATATTCCCCCAATATTTTAATTATTTTATAATAAAAATAGTAATTTACCAAAAAGGAAACTAACTGACTATATTCTTCTTCTTTTCTCGCAGAATAGTTACTTTTCCACTTAGAATCATTTAGAATATCCTTATCGTTAGCAACCAAAAGAAAAGTGTAATTCTTTTCCTTGATTCCTAGACAAAATATATAATTATAGTGGAGAATCTAATCATCTGGGAGTTCGTATCATGATTTTTTCTAGGATTATGTATGCTTCGTTTTCATGCATATTTCCATACTTTTTCATTGAGAAATTCTTTTTAGGATCAAGCGCTTACCATCGTGCCAAAAATTATAGTTGATGGCAAGGGCACAACTTTAATTCTTAAGTAAACCTACCAAGTACCGCCATTGTTCAACCATGACTTCGACCGGGGCATTCAAGCCCCTCGAGAGCCTTGCCATAGGCAGGATGTTGGCATTACCCAACAATCCCTTTCCTAACACCTGCCTCATGCTGCATGTTGCTCTTCGAAGTCGAACTCATGATCTTGGCTTTGATACCACTTTTTAAGATTAAGTGGTTATCATCGTGCCAAAAGCTATATATGATAACAAGAGCGCAACTTTATTTCTTAATTAAGCCCACCAAGCAAGCGCCATGTTCGACCATGACTCTGACTCAGGCCACTTAAGCCCCCTCGTGAGCTTGCCATAGGCAGGATGTTAGCGTTACCCAACAATTTTCCCTTTCTCAAAATCGTTATTAAAATATTGTCCTAGTTTTATTTTTGGCATAGTTTTTAAGCATTTATCTTTTATTTATTGAAGAATGAATATTTACATAATCGATCAGTGCAATTTAATTTGTTGAAAAAGCTACTTCCTTATTTTGAATGTTACTAGTTCCACTAATTATGACTTTTTTAATGTGACTTGATAATGTGAAAAAAAGTTGTACTATTATTATATAAAAGTAATCAAGTTAAAATCCCATTTGTACATTTACCTAAGCTTAAATATCTTGAACTATAAAACTAACAATACCTTTAATTAGTATATGTGTATTTCTTTTTCCTAGTTAGTTTATTTGGAAACAGCCTCTCTACCTTAGGATAAGGGTAAGATCTGCGTATACACTACCCTCCCCAAATCTCACTAAGTGAGATTATACTGGGTTGTTGTTGTGTATTTCTTTTCCAAAATGAAGTATAATATATAACATTAGAAATTTTGTTTGCAGCATTGGTGCTAGAAGAGTAAAAAGACAATGTTGTCAGTTCCAGGAATACTGTAATGCCAAAAATATAGAAGGGTAAAAATGTCTTTGCCTCCTCCTCCTTCTACTTCTAGTTTCTTCATTAAGATTTATGTTGTTGGGACTTTCCAATATTGTTATCGTATTTGTGTCGGATCCTCCAAAAATGCACTATTTTAGAGGGTTCGACGCATAGTACACGACAATATTTTGAAAAGTCCGAACAACATAGACCAAGACAATGAATATTTCAAAATGAGCAATTTTCATTCAAGTTGAAGTTAGTTATATATTCTAGTAAAAAAGGACAGTCCAGTGCACTAAGCTCCCGCTATGCGCGTGGAATGGGAAAGAGCCGGATCGCAAGGGTTTATTGTATGCAGTCTTACCTTGCATTTTTGCAAAAGGCTATTTTCACCGCTCCAACCCGTGACCTCCTGGTCACATGACAGCAACTTTACCAATTAGGCCCCTTCATATAAATTCTAGTATTATTATTAATGGACCAAATTGCAGGTGCAAAAACACATTCCAAGGAGTGAAGCAAGAGTATAATACTCTAAAGACTAAGCTTGAGGCTTATTTTCAGGTATATCTCTCTAGTCTTTAAATAATTTTGCGCACACCTTAATTAAGAAAGATATTTAATAGTTTTAATTATAAGAATAATATTTATCGAAACTACTATTTTGTCTCTCTTTAAAAGATCTTACTTAATTAATATTCCACTACTAGAAGGTGGATTCGGAAAAAAGGTGATAAATGCTTCTTATTTTCTAAAACGACAAATATTTAAGACAAATTCAATTTGTCATAAAGAAAAATAACATAGACCGAAGATAGTATTTCCTTTATTTTCATTTATTTTCACGACCGAATAAAGAAAAAAAGGACAGTCATGTGCATAAGGCATCCCGCGTTCACGCACGGTTCGGAAAAGAGTCGTATCTAGTGGCGATGCTAGAAATTTACCCAAGAATATTCAAATTTGAAAGAAGTGAAAAAAAAATCACGACAAAGGGCGTTCAATATGCGTTATATATCTCTAAAATATAATATTTTATCTATATATACACTGCAATTTTTGGATAAAGGGTGGTCAACTGACCACCTTTATGACCATGCCACAGGCCATACCCCAAAGGGTGTGATATAGACAGTCTACCCTAATACTAGCATTAATGGCTGTTTTTACAGCTCGAACTCGTGATTTATAGGTCACACCAAGACAACTTTACCGTTGCTCCAAGACTCAACCAATTAATGAATTTAGTAATAATTTGCCTTTACTGTCTTAAAATCTTGGATCTCTCTCTATATACATATACCATATTTATGGCTCCTAATTTTATTTTTTTTACCATTTTAAATCTAGATGGCAAGAGAAGGTTCCCATTATGTTTGATGTCGAAAGCAGCATCAGATTCAAGCAGCTGATATATCCAAAATCCAAATATATATAAGGATATATATTGCTCCATAGAAATGATATATAGAATCTTCTTATCATGAAATAATATACCAATCATGGCACTGAAAAAATGTCAGCCATTCTGTTGTATAAAATCTGTCACTACTTATTAATGCAAAGTTCGTATTTTCAATACTAAAGTTCTTATATGTGTATGTAAATACATTTTTGCTGGCAACAGATATGTATTCTACTTATATAGAAAAGCGCACAAGCTGCTCTCCGTCGACATCTCTGTTTGCCGACGGAGGGCAATTTCGTATTTGTAGTGCCCTATATTAGGTAAAATTCCTGTTGTGTCCTTACACTAATTGATTTGTGTTGTTTAGGAAAGACTACTTAGGTAATTTCGCAATCCACTGTCACCGCTTAATTTTGCTCTGCTTTATCATAATACCATAATTTTGCTCTGCTTCACCATCTTGCTTTCTACAAAATTCGCCCATCTTCTCCTTCTTACTCGCTGTTGCGACCAAAAACACTCACGCAAGTGCACGTGATCGTCAAGTAATAGAGTAATGAGTAGAGTATCGTTCCCACGAAGACTTATAATTAACCGTTGACTAATTCAAACTCAATTAATTTGTCTATCCAAGAGGTTTTTTACAAAATAGAGATGTAATTGTTTTATTACCTAAACTACCAAGCAATAATCTAACTAGAGCAATTAACCAAACAAATAACAATTTCGAGTAACAAACAGTAGGAGAGGATATTCCAAGGTCGCAGGCTAGTTAACAATCGTGTTATGTTCTTGGCTTAAAATGACTAATCGATTTATCTGGATTGTTGATTGACAGGGTTAATGTTACTCATAAGAATCTGTCGAGTTCTTACTCGCCTATTCAAGTTAACTCAATGCCTATATGTCTATGGAATTAAGATTAACAAGAATGCATTTACAATTCCTGTATTTCCACCAAGCAAGGCAATTGGGTATATGTCTATCCCAATTGCTAATCCGTTCCCCGAGGCCCGGGTTCAAGAACTTGCTCTATTTAATTCTATATGCAATCTAAGGTTCCCACTTTCGAGTTCAACTAAAGATTCGTAGATAGTATTTCACTGTTAGATACTCAGCAAAATAATTAAAAGCAGAATTAAATAAATAACCCAATATGATAAACCAACTTTGTCAAATTAAACTTCAAACAACAACATTCATGTTTCACCCATGACCCTAGAACAATGGGTTTTAGCCACTCATACTAGTGTTCATCACAAATAGGTTCAATTTCATCACAAATAGCAAAAACCAAGAGAAGAAAAGAAGAACTTGATGGTCAAATCTCCTCCTTGCCTCTTGCCTCTCTATTTCTTGCACTAGACTCTGAAAACCTTCCTCCTCAGTCCCCAGGCTATCAAGCAATATAAGTGCTTTCTCTAGAGAATCGTCTAGATATACACTCGAATCATGAATCTACTCATCAGCCTCAACAACAGATATCATTGAGAGCTCCTCATAGTGGCGGGGAAGTTGTATTGCTTTGTAGACATTAAAAACTGCTTCCTCGTCATCTACCCTCAAAATCATCTTTCCCTCTCTCACTTTGATAATTGCATCACCAGTAGCTAAGAGAGGTCGCCCCAATATGATTGGAACCAATTCATCAGCCTCATAATCGAGGATAATGAAATCAGCAGGGAAGATGAATTTCCCAATCTGCAGCAACACATCTTCAATCACCCATTCAAGGTGTGCTATCGATTTATCAGCCAGCTGCTACATCACAATAGTGGGCCTTGGAGCTTCCAGGACCAATTGCTTGAACAAAGATAAGGGCATCAGATTTATGCTCGCCCCCAAATCGCAAAGAGCACGACCCACATCAATATTACCAATGTGCACAGGAATCGTGAAGCTGCCAGGATCTTTAAGCTTTTGAGGGAGCTTATTTTGGACCCTTGAAGTGCACTCCTCAGTAAGTGTCACTGTCTCAAATTCAGTTAATCTTCTCTTGTGAGCCACTATATCTTTTATGTACTTAGCATACTATGGAATTTCACGAAGCACATCAACAAGTGGGATATTCAATTGAACCTGGCTCAACATAGAGAGAAATTTTCTGAACATGCGATCATCATTCTTTTTCTGCAATCTCTGGGGGAAAGGTGGTGGTGGCCTTGGGGCCTCCACTGGCTCTGGAATTTCAGCAACATTCTTTGGCTCGTGAATCACTTTAGGGATCAACTCTCCCTCAGGTATGGGCTTGTCTTTATTTTTCTTTGGCACTTCCTCTAGCTCCCTCCCGTTTCTAAGTGTAACTGCATTCACTTGAGGGTTCTTTTCTATAACACTGGGGAGAGCGCCTGCAGGTCTAGTTTTTTGATTTGTTGATAACTGCCCCATTTGCCTTTCAAGATTTCTGAAGTCGATCCTGAGTTGCTGATTGTCAATCAACAACTTCTTTAGCAAATCATTAGTACTTTCTTCCATTTGTTGGGGTGGTCTCTGAAGCTGATTGAAACTCCCTTGGGGTCTATGCTGATTCTGATTCTGCTGATTTCCACCCCATGAGAAGTTCGGATGATTCCTCCAATTTGGATTGTAAGAATTCCCGTATTGTGCATGCTGATTCGGTGGACCTCTGTTCTGTTGCCCACATAATAGATGGATTCTAGATTCGTGGAGCACATATCACTCATATGGCTGTCGCCACAGAGTTTGCAGTAACTAGTCATTTGTTGTACATGTTGCATTGTATGTGGCTGCTGCATTGTCATCCTAGTCATCTGATTGGCCAGCTTTGCAATATCGGCTCTCATGGATGACACTTCATCGAGCTCAAGTAACCCAGCTGATTTTTGCTTAACTGCCTTTCGTGAATCACCCTCACCTTGCCAGTTATTATCATTAGCAGTGAAGTTATTCAGCAAGATTTGGATTTCATTGTACGGTCTGGCCATGCAACTACCCCCACAAGCTGAATAAAGATTTATTTTTGAAGCATCATCTAACCCATCTACAAAAGTGTGATCCAATACCTCGTCCATCAGGCAAGGATGAGGACAGTCTCTGAGCATCTTCTTATACCTTTCCCATGCTTGACGAAGTGTCTCGCTAGCTCGTTGTTCGAACCCAAGAATTTGACTCCTCAATATCTTTGTTTTATTAGTAGGGAAAAACTTGATTAAGAATTTCCTTGCCAGATCATCCCAAGTGCAGACTGAATTCGCTGGCTCCTTATTCAACCACTCCTTAGCTTCCCCGATCAGTGAAAAAGGAAAAAGTGTCAGCCTGACATTGTCCTTGGAAATGTTCGGATAATTGTAAGTGTCCGTAATTTCCAAGAAATTCTGAATGTGCCTCTGCGGGTCTTCATGAGGTAAGCCCACAAATAGCCATGTGGATTGGATCAGCTGCACCATGTATTGTTTTAGATCAAAGTGCCTAGTGATATCAGGCTTCACAATAGCCTGAGTCATATTAGCCAGACTGGGCATTGCGATTTCGATCACCGCGCATTCCTCATTACCTGCCATCTCAATTGGTTGTGATTGAACTACGATGTCCAACTCTCTTTCAATTCTACTTCTAGCATCTACCTCCCTCCTCAATCTGTGAAATGTTCGTTCAATTTCGGGATCAAGAGGAAGGAGATTGTTTGCGCTTCTACTTCTTCGCATTCAAGAAAACAAAACCTATATTAGCACAAACAAAGTGAACTGAAAATTAAAACTTGAATAAATAAATAATAAAAGTTCAACTCAGTCAAGTAGCTAATTTCTAAGTCCCCGGCAACGGCGTCAAAAACTTGTTGCGACCAAAAACACTCACGCAAGTGCACTTGATCGTCAAGTAATAGAGTAGTGAGTAGAGTATCGTTCCCAGGAAGACTTATGATTAACTGTTGACTAATTCAAACTCAATTAATTTGTCTATCCAAGAGGTTTTTTACAAAATAGAGATGTAATTGTTTTATTACCTAAACTACCAAGCAATAATCTAACTAGAGCAATTAACCAAACAAATAACAATTTCGAGTAACAAACAGTAGGAGAGGATATTCCAAGGTCACAGGCTAGTTAACAATCGTGTTATGTTCTTGGCTTAAAATGACTAATCAATTTATCTGGATTGTTGATTGACAAGGTTAATGTTACTCATAAGAATCTGTCGAGTTCTAACTCGCCTATTCAAGTTAACTCAATGCCTATATGTCTATGAAATTAAGATTAACAAGAATGCATTTACAATTCCCGTATTTCCACCAAGCAAGGCAATTGGGTATATGTCTATCCCAATTGCTAATCCGTTCCCCGAGGCCCAGGTTCAAGAACTTGCTCTATTTAATTCTATATGTAATCTAAGGTTCTCACTTTCGAGTTCAACTAAAGGTTCGTAGATAGTATTTCACTGTTAGCTACTCAGCAAAATAATTAAAAGCAGAATTAAATAAACAACCCAATATGATAAACCAACTTTGTCAAATTAAACTTCAAACAACAACATTCATGTTTCACCAATGACACTAGAACAATGGGTTTTAGCCACTCATACTAGTGTTCATCACAAATAGCAAAAACTAAGAGAAGAAAAGAAGAAATTGATGGTCAAATCTCCTCCTTGCCTCTTGACTCTCTATTTTTTGCACTAGGCTCTGAAAACCTTCCTCCTCAGTCCCCAGGCTATCAAGCAATATAAGTTCTTTCTCTAGAGAATCGTCTAGATATACACTCGGATCATGAATCTGCTCATCAGCCTCAACAACAGATATCATTGAGAGCTCCTCATAGTGGCGGGGAAGTTGGATTGCTTTGTAGACATTAAAAACTGCTTCCTCGTCATCTACCCTCAAAATCATCTTTCCCTCTCTCACTTTGATAATTGCACCACCAGTAGCTAAGAGAGGTCGCCCCAATATGATTGGAACCAGTTTATCAGCCTCATAATCGAGGATAATGAAATCAGCATGGAAGATGAATTTCACAATCTGCAGCAACACATCTTCAATCACCCCTTCAGGGTGTGCTATTGATCTATCAGCCAACTGCTACATCACAGTAGTGGTCCTTGGAGCTCCCAGGCCCAATTGCTTGAACAAAGATAGGGGCATCAGATTTATGCTCGCCCCCNTATGAGAAGTTGGGAAGATTCCTCCAATTTGGATTGTAAGAATTCCCGTATTGTGCATGCTGATTCGGTGGACCTCTGTTCTGTTGCC